ACACACATCCGGCAAGCACTCAGACAGGCATGCAAACCAGCAGGCACGCACACACACAGACTTGGGACCACAGCAGAATGCGGGAATCACAGCAAGGCATTCATTCCATTGGCAAATCCCAGAAATCAGCAGTGTTCTCAGTCTGTGTTTTGGGCGGGTCATTACAGCTATGTGACTTTCAACATTTGTTGTTGGCTCTTGCTTCTGACTTGCGACTTTTGTTGTCGCCGGTGAGATTCGCGTGGGGGGAGTTTTTTGGACTCTTGGGATTGGGTTCGGAGTGTTATCGTAGTTGGAGCTCCTGGTGCTGCATGCCCCCCTTCTGTTCATGCATGCTGTTTCTTCGGCCCGGGGTGTATTGCCGCGGTGCTCACATGTTAGCATGGTAGGAAAGTCAGGCCTTTGCTCATGGCATGCTTTTTCTTTATGAGATTTTCTTTTTAATGGAAATGATAGATGTAATACTCTGGTGGTTTTTGATTGGCCTCAGTTGTTGCATGCAGGTTGGTGAGTATACTGTTTCTTTCCTGGCCCCTCGGCCCTCGCTCCACTACCCAACACTCTACATGCATTTGCTTGCTTTCTGGACCAGGTGCATTCGGATGAGTCCAACATGTTGAATGTACCGGGTCTAGAAAATGTCCAGATCAATGTAAGAGTATTGTGTAGTGGAGTGAGGCCCCTTTTCTCATATGTTCAAGTGTGCTCTTGAGGGCAGACAGGTGTGTCGGCACTTGGCACTTAATACACCAGTTCGTGAGCAACGTGTGCCGGTCAACTGGCCGGCCTTTTGTGGATGTGTGCGCCCACGTGCAGCCAGTTATGATATAATGCGTTCAGAGGTCGGCAGCAGTGTCTCACGGTCCCGACGATCTGTTCAGAGGTTCGCAGAAGGGTCTCACTGTCCCCCATGAAACAGAGAAGCTTGGGGTCCATCTCACGGTCCCCACGATCTGTTCAGAGGTTCGCAGAAGCGTCTCACGGTTCCCCATGAAGCAGAGAAGCTTGGGGTCCGTCTCACGGTTCCCCATGAAACAGAGAAGCTTGGGGTCCTTGATGTTCACTAAATATGACTGTACGAGCCATCGTGGAGGTGCATTCCAATCAATCGTTTCCACTCAAGCACACAAGGGTCTGAAAATGGGGGTTCACCGTTAACCCGACAATCAGTGTAGTCACGCCGACAGTCGGCGGCCCTGGATTGATCGGGGGCCGACCAGCTGACCGTCGGACTGGTCAGCACCTACCGGTCGGGGGTTGGTCGGCACCCCGCAATTTTTTAATGTTTTTTCTTGGGTCCAGAACCCCAAATAACCCCATCAACACCCCCATAGCCCCCCTCAACACCCCCATACACCCCCCAAACACCCCCATACCGCCCCCCAACACCCTCATACCCACTCCCCCCCAACCCCCCTATACCTCCCCATAGCCCCCCTGTACCATACACCCCATCCCCAAAAGTTTCTCAGCGGATTTGGGCTGTACTCAGCAAGCGCAGTGCAGCTCTGAACTCAGATTTGAAAAAAACAACAACAGTGGATGGCCCTCTACAGACTGCGGACCAGTCCACCTACGGGTCGGCCTGACTGGTAGGCGAGCCGACGGCCTACGGTAGGCGTTGTCCGTAGGCGTTCTGACAACCCTGCCGATAATTACATTGGGGTATGTGCTTCTTAGAACAGCCAACCTCTGATAGGGGCACTATTTCTGACTCATCCATACGTAGGCTACTTTGCCGCCGGCAAGGCCGATACCTCCTCATAAGCAACCAGCTTCTTTTGGGAAACCTTCTCTTATGAGGGTGATTTCTGCCCCTCCGTCCACCAACACTGTCTTCGCTTCATGCAGCGCTTGGGTGAGTTGTATGAAGAACCCCTTGTTAGGGTAGTGACCCCTTTTTGGGAGCACGCCCACGTTGCCGATCTACTCCACGTCTTCAGTGTGGATCCCGACGATTCGGTGGCACATACACACGCACCGTCCTGCTTTTCTTTGTGGAGTTGTGTATAGCGAACTTGACAACCCACAACGTGGCCTTGCTAAGCTCTCCGTTCAGGCGGATTGATGCGCCTAGGGTCAGGAGTCAGGACCGTACGACCATTGGGTATCCATGGCTGAATGCGTGTGTAGAGTGGGTTTTATGGCTATGTCATATTAATTTCTCATTCTTACTTCCATTCTTGTCAGGGGTTTGGAGCGACAGTCTCATGGGGATCGCTGACTCTGGGCGAGGTGGTGAGTTCTTATCCATCAGTCAAGTGCATCCTGGGAAGATTGTCGGGGTTCATTCAACCTCCTGAAAATTCGATGAAACAGTCTGGCACAGTCATGCTTTTCGAATGCGTGCTTGTACAGAGGAGGACTTTGGCCCGCTGTGCGGATCTATGAACCATTTTGTGGAAGCACCCGTTAACCAACGTGGAAGTACCCCGTGTGTGGTGTTCAGGCTAAGTACCCATGGAGGGGTCTTGTGCAGTGGAGCGAAGTGTGCGAGATTGGCATGTCCGTGTCATGTGTACGTGTGGTGTTGTGTGTGGTGTGGGTTGCGTTGGACACTACCATGTGATGTGTACGTGTGGTGTTGTGTATGGTGTGGGTAGCGTTGGACGCTACAGCCTTGCAGGGGTGGGGTGGATATCACGTCCGGTATAGTTCCACTTTTAAACACCAGGTCCTGGCTGTAGTGGATAAGACACTTGGCTCCTGAGGACGAGGTTGCCGGTTCGAATCCGAGAGGAGGACTTCTGCCCGCTGTGTGCTGTGCAGATGTATGAACCATATTTCTTAGTGGATTTGTGTATAGCGAACATGGCAAGACACACCCGTTTGTTTGTTTGTTCCTTCTCTGTCTCTCTCCTGTGCTTGTCTTCTGTGTCTAAGTAAGTTGAAGGCCTTTGAGATGTGTGCCAAAAGTCAGTGCCCTTGATAAACATATGTGACTCTTAATAAACAGATCATGAGTTCAAATCCTGATGGACGAATCAGATGGATACAATAACTGTAGGGGTTTACCCCCTTAAAATAAAATAAAAAGGTCAGTGCCCGTTTGTTTGGGTTGCCTGGGGGCCTGCAGGCTGCAGTGTTCGGGATGACTGGTCTCTGTGTTCTCTTGGGTGATGACACACAATCATGGAAGTGACTCCTTGGCTCCGATGGTGGTCTGAACCTGCT